TCTTCTTCTCCTTAAAAATTTCTCCTCTCATATGTGATAGTTGAAGTTGATGTGGGTTTATGTGTATAAATAATTGAGGTCTTCATTTTCTATTTTTCTATGCTGTACATGGGATGGATGCTTACTCAGTTGTGTTGTAAATGTATAAACCAAAGTTATCAATGACCAATACAAAATTATAAATATAAGAAGAATAGTTGTTGTTAGATTAAATATAACAGATATATGATTATGATGTTTGGAAAATATATATGTTGATGAATGGCTATTTTATTGTTTTAGGTTGGCATGACAATGGTTGACATGTTGGGATGACACTAAAAGATTCAACCCTTTATATATTTTTGTCAAAAGGATTGTAGGGTATTTTGATGCAAATCATGTAATTGATAACAAAGCCTTAGATAATTGTTACTTTTTAAGGTTTTCTAGTCATTTAAATGAATGAAAATTATTATTTCTTAAATTGGAGTGGTAATTCATTTTTGCTAGTTTAGTCAATTTACAGAGGATATTGATAAATTCCAATTTCTTGTTGTATTGTTGCAAATTTAGGGACAAAAGTTGTTAATTTAGAAACAAAAGTTATGAATGAAAAGTTATGAATTTTCAAAATATGATGCATATTAGAACCTACATATTCGAAGTTGTGAATGACAATTGAATTATTATGAATTTAGAAACAAAAATTGTTAATGTATGAACAAAAGTTGTGAATTAAAAGTTATGAATTTTCAATACCTGATGTATATTAGAACCTGTAATATAAAGTTGTGAATGATTATTGAATTGTTATGAATTTAAAATAATAGTTGTTAATATGGGAACAAAAGTTATGAATGAAAAATTGTAAATTTTCAACATTTGATGCATATCAGAACTCGTAGATCAGGACTTGCGAATGGCTATTAAATTGTTGTAAATTTAGAAATGAAAGTTGTTAATATATGAACAAAAATTGTGAAAGGAAAGTTGCAAATTTTTTTTAATTTGAATAAAAGGCAAAATTGTCATTTTCATAATTCCCTAATGACAGAAACATCTCTTGAGACTTTAGAAAAATTATGCCATTTTGTGGGACCAATTGATTATTTATATAATTTAAATGAATTTTAGTGTCATTTTTCCAAAAAAATAAGTGATTTTTTTTATAAAAATAAACTGAAATAAACTGCCCTCTATGTGACATATATGTTCAAGTAAAACATCGATCCTTGATCGTTTACCTTTTTCATCTGCTGACATGTTAGCTCCCTTGTAAGTGAGAGATTGCTTGTAATTTGAAGCCATTGGTGCTTGCCCTTCTAATTTCAACCAAAAAAAAAAAATCTGTGAATTTCTTTGATTTGTTATATACACAGATGTGTCGAGGCATATAAAGAACCTACACCATCATTGTTGATGATTATTCAAGAGTCATTTAAATTTATTAGGAAACACAATGATTGATCTTTATAGTTTTATTAAATTTTATTATTAGTTCCTGTAGTATTTTCACTATTCTTAGTCTTTATAGAGATTGAGAACATTGAAAATATTAAAATCATAGGGACTTGAGTAACAAATGTCACATAATTTTGCTAAAATTATAAGGACTGAAAACATGAAAAAATTATAAGAATTAAAAGTAAAATTTGATTAAATTATAAAGACTGATAATTGTATTTTCATGAATTTATTTGAAGATGTAACAAAAGGGAAAGCAACTTTGTATGTATAGGAAGACGTTTTTTGCATGTGTATCCAATCAATTTTGAGCGAGCGAAAGAAAAGTTAGCAGTGACAATTAATGTGGCTGAATTTGTCATAATACGTGAGATTAGTTGCCCATAAACGCCCTAACATTGGAAGCATAGACCTTTTCTTGATGTGTTAGGGACTTTAATGTTTCAAGGCGACAACATATCTAATTAATATTGTTAGGTCGTCTAAATGTAAGTGAACTTAAGATGATGTGAGAAGTTCCATTAAATAAGGTTAGACTTAATAACTAATATATATATATATATATATAGAAAAACCTATAAACTCAAGTTCATGTGAGAAGTTCGATAAAGTTAAACTTAATAATTATTATTATAATATATAATAAATGGGAAAAACATATATAAACATGAGTCCTCTTCTGCTAATTTTGCATGTTTCTCTTCTTCCCATTCCCGAGCAATTACTCCCCCTTTCTAATAAATATAATAGAACATCTTCTAACGTCCTAGGTTACAAGAACCCCTTATAATTGACCTTTGGAAAACTACTTAACGTTATCCATATTATTAGAATTTTTGGGATTATCACTGCCCGTATATCATTTTTTTTCCTTCCCCTTAACCAAAATAAGGGAATGTTAAAATAGGAATTTTATACTCATTTTACATGGCAGAGTCTGCTCTAAAAAGACAATTTAAGAAGTTGTTAAACGTGGCTATAATTTTATGGCCCCTAATTTTCCTTGTAACAATAAACCAAACCAGAGAATTACTCTCTTCACTTGGATTAAAAAAAAAAAACACTTGAAAACAAACTCCTAAAAGAGTTTTTTTTCCTCCTAGCACGTATTCTCTCCTTTCTATTTTTCTCTATACTATTAAATGGAAGGTTAATTAATCCTGTCTAGAGCTCAATAAAACTAGCAAAAAACCAACCAAAAACCTAAATTTTTTTTGAAACTAATACTTAATTAGCCGTTGCAAAAGAAGCATTTGGTTGATGTTTGTTTATGAGAAAAAGAAACAATCAAACAAAGTGACTTTGCTTGACGTTTATTCCTACCAGCTTCACATTTATTTAGATTCACACACACACAAATATATTAGTGCATGCGTGTGTATAATTACATCAATTTGATTGTAATTCAACCACGATTTAATCAATGAACCAGGAAACAATTAATATCTCAATTAATTTAATGACTGGACTAATTTTCATAAAATTGCTTATTTCATCAACACTTATCGGTTCTTTAAAAAATAGAGGAAAGAATAGAAAAGAAGAACAAGAAAAGGTCTCATATGTATACCCCCACCAAAAAAAAAACTTTATAAATTTCTGGTGTGAAAGTGATACCTCGGATTAATTAATTACTTTTGACCTTCGCTCGCTCTTATAATAACAGAAAAGAAAAGGTCCATCTCAAATAATAAAGAAAACAGAACAAGATAGTCCAGTTCTCCCTTAGACAGAAAGAAAAGGTCTTCGGCTTTTCGAAGCCTTGCAGAATTATTTCCAAGTCAAACTTAATTTAAGCAAATTAATCTGTCTGTTATTCAAATTCTTAATTAATCAAGGAAAAAGTCATGAAAACAGATGGAGCAAGGCATAGATAGGGAGCTTTAATTATTAAAGACTTTGAAGTTAGAAGTAACTCGAGTTTTACTATACTAAACTCTTTCTCTCTCTTCAATCAATTTTTGAATTTATGATTATTTTAAGGCTCAAGTATACTTTTAGTGCTTTAATATTGCATAAAATTTTATTTTGGTCACTTAATTTTATAAACTATATTTTTATTCCTTTACCCTTAACACCGTTAGTTTTAAATAATTATTTTTTTATACCAATCATTATTATTTTAAAAAAATAAAACTTAATAAGTCAACATTTGAACATGTCTTATTAATATTTAAAAGTTTAATATAACTTTTTTGTGTGATGAAACTAACAATGTTATGATTAAGAAATTAAAAATACATTTTTTAAAATTAAGGGACAAAAATAAAATCTTATATAAAGTTAAAGAATTAAAAGTATACTTTAACCTTATTTTAACTTTTGTTCATATTTCGTTGACGGTATTGAGAACTTTTTTCGTACACGAAACAAAAAATAAAAAATAATGCTCAATTTGCTTACTACTTGTGTTTTCGGTATTTTTCCTATTTATTGTCTCTCGTTTTAGAGAAGTCTATGAAAAGACTTTTCTTCCCTTTAAAAAATTTAAATTCAGAATGGCAATACTACCTCCCCTAATTTTCAACCCTACATTTGCATTATTTTATTATGTTGAAATTTCATTGCTTCAATTTTAATTTTGTGCACATGTATGCGCGAACACACCCTGCCTGAAGTTACAAAACTTAATTGTTATTTTCTTTTGGGCAATTGGGCTAGTTATAATTGACTTTATTTAATTTGCATACACTTGAAGAAAGTTACACACACAGAGACAAGATCTTTTTAGGGAAGAAAAAAGTTGACAAGGAAATGGAATAAGTTCAGAAACATCATTGACCGAAACAAATGTTCAGATCCATCAATGTTTTCTGACCGACATTACCTTTTTTTTTTTTTGTATAAGAATCTTTCGTTGAAGGAAAAACAGAAAAGGCGATTATTTACTGAAGGACATGTGAATTATTGGCAATTGCATGTCATGCTATAGTTTCATTGAGCTTACTACGAGATTACTAAAATAGTTTTTTATTTTCCAATTTATGAAATCAATACGGTGATCTATGAACTTATTCTTTTCACTCAAGCATTAAGCAGTATATGTTTAAGAATTTAATCATTTTCATTTATTCTTATAAAATATTTCCTCCATCTCAAATTATAAGACACTTTTAGACAAAATCTTATATACTAATAAACCTCATTAAATACACTTAACAACATTATTTTTTCAAAACAAAAATGTAAATATTCAAAAATACTTTTTATTTAATAACTTTAAATCTACACCTAATTAGTATTAAATAGAGAGAGAGAGAAAGAGAGAAGGTAATATGAGAATAAGCTTATTTAATGAAACCATAATATTTTTAAAGTATTTTATATTTTAAGATAACAAATCTTTTCAAAAAGTATCTTATAATTTAGGACGGAGGAAGTATAAATTACTTTAAATGATTAATTAGGATTGAACAATATTACTTAACATTATTAATTTCCTAAACGTGTCTATCTTGTCTGCATTGGGATAGGAAAAACAGTGAATTATTTGTTTGCCTGGAGAGGAAAAAAGAAAATAATACAATAAGTACACATAACACGCTCGATCAACCTTTGTTTAACAAAACTCTAGTTTTATTGAAGTGGGAACACGCGCGCAGCAGACGTGCACGTACAGGAAACAAAATGAAATTACAAACCGAGAACAAGCCGACAAGGTTCAACGTAAGCTTGCATACATATTAACTATTTATTTAATTAAAGATCTAATTAGAGTTACGGATGCTGGGTGGTGGATTGTGTATTTAGTTATTGTCATACCAAGATTGCTTTTGAAGATAAGCAATTATGTCATTGTCAACTTGGAAGGCTTTAGTGAGAACCTGTGGGGAGATTGGAGGAGTAGAGTTAAACAAAGCATTAGCAATGGTAATCACTCCTGGATTTTGGCTGCTTAGACCAGCAATTGCAAAGGCATTGTCCTGCCCAACATTGAGTTGAAAGTGAATCAAGCCAATCGGGAATGCAAACACATCTCCTTTGTTGAGGACTTTGGTGAAGAGGGTGTTATTATTTTGATTGGAAGCCACAAATCCAACCAAGAGAGTTCCTTCAATGACAATCAACAACTCAGTGCCACGAGGGTGAGTGTGAGGAGGATTCAAACCGTATGGCGCATAATCGATACGAACAAGGGAAATACCAAGAGTGTTGAGTCCTGGTATTTCATTGACAGCTGCTGGAGTCACTTGGGAGCCTAATGGGTTGGAAGTGTTCCCTGGTCTTATGTGGTAGAAGAAGTCTTTTGCTTTGGCAAGCTTGGGGTCTTTGCATAATTGCCCATTCACCGTTACTGCATGAGCACATGCAAATGCACAATTATTAGTATTGGAAAGCGCACAAAAGATAAGCAAAAATAAAAAGGATAAAAACAATTGAAAATTATAAAAAAGTTAGATATTATAATAAAAGATGATGCCCAAAAAAAAAAGATGGGGAACTCTTGATTTGATGGACAAAAAAACCCACAGAGCAAAAATTTTCATTATAAGATATTAACTGGGCTAATAAATAATATATTCTAAAATCTCAATTATAAATAACTTGTGTGTGTATCCATTTGTCCTATTTTGAAACGTACCTTGAGGATTGGCTTCATTGAGAGCGATGCAAAAATCTTGGAGAGGGCTGGGGTCATAGGCAGAAGCAACTGAGGAAGCCAAAGCCAAGAGGGCAAGGAGAGAGATCACTAATGAACCTTTCATCTTTGAATTCTCAAATCCTTGATTTCTTTGAGTTGTGTGTTTGTTGTGGCAAAATGCATTTGTTGTTGTGATCTATTTATAGCCGGGTGGGAGGACCTGCCACTGTTGAATTGGTATTTACTTTCAGATTCGACATAATTAAAACAAATATGTCTATTCCTTTTTTTTTTCTTTTTTTCTTTTTTTAATTGATGGTTCACTCTTAGTTTGACCTGAGCAGTACGGTCTTCAACAACTACACCTACACAGGTTTATTTTTTAATTATCAACGTCGCAGTAGATGTTTCACTAGACATATATTCCAACAACTTCCTCAACTTGCTCTTTTGTTCATCTGAATATATAGTTAATAATTAATTGGGTACCAACAAGTGGAATTAACTGATTAACTGAAATATTTGGATGATTGCATTTCAGCTTCCCTATACTCCGCTGATCTTACTCATTAGGCAGGAGAGATATTTTTTTTTAATCTTATTTATATGTCGTGTTATTAAATTTTTATCCAAATTTTCTCCTTTTACTTTCCATTCAATGATGGTGAGAGAAAAATGTTACTAAAGTATTTATATTTAATAGGAGGAGAATTGAAAACTTTTTTAATTTTTAGACAAAGTTAATGAATTTTTAAGGTTTTCTTAATTAGTTTGGATTAAACCTTTTTTAAATAACTTATAAATAGAATTAGAGTAGTAATTTATGCATTTTAAAAAGTGTTAAAGGACATTTTACCTTTCAATTATTCGCTTAAAAGTATCTAATATCCTAATTATCTAGTATCTAATATCCCATTATTAACATTTAAAAATGGTGCATTGGACATGTTAAAAAGTTAATTTTGACTTATAATTGACCTAAAAATTTACAAAAAATAATCTAAAAATTTACAGAATATCTATAAAATTATACATAAGTTCCCTATAAAAAAATTAATATCAATTAAATTCTCTAAATTACATTTAAATATAAGAATACTGGGTAATTAATGGATCACAAATACTAGAAACAATACCAATAAATAATTTAAAAATATTATATTATTTTCTATAATTTTGGGGATTTAATTGATATATTTTCTTATATGCTATTTTTTTTGTAATTTTCTAAATCATTTTCTATAATATTTTAGGCCTTTTTTTTATAAGTTTTTGAATCAATTAACCGTAAGACTTAACTTTTTAATTATAGGGTATCCTGTATGCTATTTTGAAATGTTGAAAGAAAAAATTGTACTATATTTAATTTTAGGATATTAGATGCTCTTAAGCCATTAATTGAGAGACAAAAATGTAAATAATTGGGTTTCTTGGTATTGATGATAGTGTCATGCAATTAATTAATAATTTAATATACACTAAATAAATAACTTCTTGCTTCTCCCATAAACAAGCGCTAACAATAACATAACATAAATGTCATACGTCCACCTCCAATTAAAAAGGGGGGAAACGAACAAGTCCCGCGGCCACAGACTAAAGAAAAGACACGTGGCTTCTCTCCATTTTTTTCAGGTCTTCAGCATTAATAAAAAACCTTGAAGACATTTATGTTATTCAAGGTTTTTTATTAAGTGACTTAAGACTAGTTTGTTATTCAAACTTTGAATTCTTTTATGACAGTTATTAAAAAAAAAAAACAAGTCCTACATCTAAATATTAAAAAACAGGTAGTAAATATATAAGTTTATGAAGTATTTAACCAAATAGCTTAAGTTATCTTAATAGGATATACTATCTTTAAGTATACTTAATATAAGAAATCTAATATGGTATCTAGAGCCACTCGATTGGAGATGGTAAAAAAGTAGAGATAGAAAGAAAAGAAAAGAAAAATGAAAGATGAAAAAAACAAGATATTAAAAAAAATAAAGAAAGAGAGAAGAAGGAGGAGGAGAAGGAGGAGAAATTGAATAGACTTGAGGCTTTTAAAACTCAAGCTCAGACAAGAAAAAAAAGGAAAATTTAGAAAAGGAGAAAAAATAGTAAAGAGAATATTAGAAAATAAAATAAGTTATACATCTAAAGATTAGAAGATAGATCATAAATATAAAATTTTAGAAAATATCTAATTAAATGGCTTAAGCCATTTTGGTAGAGCATGCTTAATATAAAAAATCTAATAGTATCTTGTACTACATGTTAGATTTATTTAAGTATTGTTGTGAGTGGCTTTTTCAATATATTTTATCAATTAACAAGGTTCAAATTTTTAACCTTACTTGAACAGAGAATGTAATTTCTTTCACTCAACTCATCTAGCTACAGTTAGTATATTTTTCTCCAATATATATATATATATATATAGTGTTATAGCTAAAAATGGCTCACAGAAGGATGGATATAAGTCTGGTTGGCCTTTTTCAAATCTATATCTATAATCTATAATACTAATATAGTTCGTAAGAATATTGTCGAATAAAGCTAATATATTGTTCTCATGGTGATATATGTTGCCGCTGTGGATAATATATAATTGTCTGCCGCCAACCACATGCATGTTCCCATGAATCATGACCCTTTCTTTGCACTACTATTCTATGAAATTTTTTGAACATTTCATTATTTAAACTTTTCTTTTTTCGTTGACGTCGCTCAGGGCTTTATCACAGAAAATAATAGTAATACTAAAAATATTGCCAAGTCTCTCTCATTTCTTGTTTAGAAAAGTCGTCTTCTTCGCTTCTTTTTATAATTTACATTGACAATCGTAATGCTACCGATGTTAGTTTTAAACTACAAATAATGCACGTAATTTTATGTTGACTTTTCAATTCTTTAATTTTCATTTTGTACACATGGATGTCTATACACACATAAAGTCATAACGTTTGTTATGTATAACTTTTTTTTTTTTAACAAAAGAAGAAGAAGAAGAAGGAATAAGACAAAACAAATGAAAAGGGGATCAAGGAATGGGTTAAGAAGTTTCGGCACAATATTTTCCGACTGTCATTATTTAGAGTTGCTATAAAAATGTTTGTATTAAAAACATAAAAAGATCAAGATTTACTGAAGGAGTAAATTATTTGAAACGTGGCAATTACACGTCATGTTACAGCTTTTGTTGATTTTACCGAACTGTTAAAATGTTTTTGACGTCAATCATTCAAATGTTTTCACTCAATAAGCAAGGATGTCATCGTTTGCATTCTCATAGAATTGGTTAACTAGGTTTGAACATTATCACCATTTCCGAAACTAGTCTGTCTTGTTATGGCCAAATTTAAAGTGAAACACAAAAATAGAGTGAACAAAATCAAACCGAATCGAACTGAGTTTAATTCAATATGCAAATTTCAAAAGTAAATGAACAGAATTGACTGAATTAGTTATGTAATTTTTTTTTTACTTTTTAAAAAGTAAATGACTTTTGTTTTTTACCAAATGAAAAGTAAATGACTTATATTTTGCTTCCCTTCTATTTTATGGCAGTTTGTGGTGATTTTGCTATTATATGTCCTTCATTTGCAGAATTTTTAACACAAATACACATATCTATATGCATGGTAACAAAATTAGAATGGGTCATTCTCATTTTGCTAGTCCATTTTAATATGTATATATGTTTCTGTGCGGCTTGAAATGTGCATTATATTACACTCATTATAAAGCCTTTATCATTTGTTTTTTTAAAAGCATAATGAACAAAAGAATAAATACAACATTAGTCCAAGCAGCCCAATGTAAAAGGCCCAATAACCAAATTAATTAACTGAACTGAACCATTAAAACTTGGTTTGATCAACAAAATCAGTTTGATATGGTCCAAATAATCAACGTTATTCAGTTGATCCGGCACTGAATCGGGCCGGACTGAATTATGCTCTCCCCTACACGAAAGGCCATTAGGTACGACTTAGAACAAAGAGCCAAGAAGAAAATCGTTGAACATGAGTTTAATAATTAACTTGTAAATGTTAATCACAATATGCATAGCAATCGACTACTTTTCCCCTTGACTTGCTCATTGCAGGACGATGCGTACGTTCAATTATTTGACTCGGCATAGGAGAAAAACAGAGAAACCAATATTGATTACGTTTTCCTCCCTTCTTTAATCCAAGTGAGATGTACATCCGAGTCTATTTATAAAAAATAAATGATAGTTAAAATTTAACTATCGCTTCGTTTTTTTCTTCTCTATAAATAAGCCTACATTTTTTTTTTCGGGAAACACAATAATTCTGGTTGCATCAGAGTAAATCCTCCAACCTTGGGTTCACAGAACCGTACGTAGCTAGTTTTATTGTAGTAGACACTATGACTTGTGCAGGAAACCAAATGAAATTCAAAATGAGAACAAGGTACGACGTAAACCAGAATGGATCATATTTATTTATTCCAATATATAATTGAATTTACATGAAGAGACAGAGTTTCTTTTGCATACGCCATGTATGCATATTTATTTATAACAATTTTATGGAGTACAGAATTATGGATAGGCACAGTGGATAGTCTGTCTAGTTGTTGTCGTACCAAGCTTGCTTTTGAAGATAGGCAATTATGTTCTTGTCAACTTGGAAGGCTTTAGTGAGAACCTCAGGAGAGATTGGAGGAGTGGATCCAAACACAGCTTTAGCAACGGTAATTACTCCTGGATTTTGGCTGCTTAAACTAGAGAGTGCTACAGCATCACCATACCCAACATTGAGTTGAAAGTGAATCATACTAAATGGGAACACAAACACGTCTCCTTTGTTGAGGACTTTGGTGAAGAGGCGGTTATCATTTTGGTTGGAAGCCACAAATCCAACCATGAGAGTTCCTTCAAGGACAGTCAACACCTCAGTGGCACGAGGATGAATGTGAGGAGGATTCAAACCGTATTGAGCATAGTCAATACGAGCAAGGGAGATACCAAGAGTGTTGAGTCCTGGGAATTCATTCACAGACACTTGAGTCACTTGGGAGCCCAATGGGTTGGACGTGTTCCCTGGCATTATGTGGAAGAAGAAGTCATCTGCTTTGACAAGCTTGGGATCTTTGCAGAATTTCCCATTCACAAATACTGCACAAAAGCACATGCAAAATTAGTAAGCGAATTATGTTGGTTTATCTTATACAATGACCCTACTCCTTTCAATCTTATTTATAAGCCATTTCCACTATATTTAAAAAAAACTAAAAAAACATTTATTGCTTCATTCTAAACATTTCATAAGTTTTTAACTTTACCCTTATTAAATATATATACTTGAAAAATAAAATATGCTAGTATTTAAAACATTTTTCAATAATTAATATGAGCAAAAGGGTAAATATGAACACAAAAATTATTAAAATATCTTGTACACAGGACCAAAAGAAATACTTCCTCTCTTTCTTTGTCTCATAAATAGGATTAGAGAAGTATATGAAATGAAGAGAGATATATTGAGAAAAAAAAAATATAATAGGCTCCACTTTTAACAATATGATTTTCAGCAGGGCTGACCTCCTACTATTTAGATATATCTCTCATCCTATCACCTAAATTGTAACTTATGGAGATCCCTGAGACACTATATGCATGTCAATGTTTGATCGGCATGTTGATCTTGAGGATAATGATCCTCCCACATGTCAAGTGTTCGAACCAACATATTGAGAGAGAAGAAGAGATACTATATGCATGGTATGAATTTGTGTATATACCTCCAAGTTTGGTATCATTGAGACCGACGCAAAAATCTTGGAGAGGACTGGGGTCATAAGCAGAAGCCACCGAGGAAGCCAAAGCCAAGAGGGCAAAGAGAGAGATCACAACAGAACCCTTCATCTTTGAATTCTCAAATCCTTAATTTCTTTGAATTGTATGTTTGTTGCAGCCAAATGCATTTGTTGTTGTGATCTATTTATAGCTGGGGGAAGGAGCTACCACTATTGAATTGGTATTCATTTTTAGTTTCGACTTAATCAAAGCAAATATATTCATCATTATTTTAATCGATATTCACTCTGAATTTAGTCTGAGCCGTGCGATCCTTAACAACTACGCGTCCCCAGGTTCATTTTTTAATTATTAACGTCGCTGAAGATTTTTCATCCAATTCTGGCTTCATCCATCTGCTCTTTTTTTTGTGTGAATCCTCCCTCCTTTCTTAATTATATTGGGCAAAATTAGCCAATTTCTTGATTTGTAAGAAATCATACCCTTCCATCCCAACTTATAAGATAATTTTGGACAAATTTTTATTGCAAAATATAAAATAATTTTGAAAAAACAAGGTTTCACTGTTGATACTTTTCCAACATTACCTTTCAAGTTAAAAGAGAATTGAAATGATATTATCAGGTAATGATTAAATGTGTAGGGTCTTTTTTTAAAGTGCATAGTTTTGTATTAAAAAAGTAAATTTGTAAAATATTATTATTGTGTTTCATTGGTATGCATAATATTATTTTAAATTGTTTTATAATTTGGAATACAAGGTGTAGTTAATATCTTTAAACTCCTAAAATTGTTTGACTTTTTAATATTTTCCCTTCACCAAAATTAATTACTACAATGAAACTGTACCTCCCAAACTCTGTGTCTTATGCATAAATAGGTATAGTTTTGACGATTAATTACATGTTCGCTTCCATATAAATTATGTATATTTTATGGCCAGCATACAACTCATGCATTTTGGAAACAAATAGAAACCTAGGAGTAGTTGTTTTTCTTGGTATTGATGATATAGTATCATAAAATTAATTAATATTAATATTATTCTAAAAAATTAATTAATACTTCCTCTGTTTTTATATATAAGAGGAAAAAATTGTATCACATAGTTTAAAAAAGTTAGTTAACCATAATAATTGCATCTGAAAATAAAGAAATTAGACTAAAATGCCCTATATTAATTAACATAAGCATGCATTAATTATTTCTTATTAATGTAAACTATGTTTAGGAAATGCGTAGTAAATACTTATTGAAATATGTAATTTTTTTATGTAAAAAAATAAATAAAAAGTGATAGTTTCTTTTATAAATAAAAACAAAGTAATATACATTAAATAAATAATTTCTTAATTGCTTCTCACATGCATACCCAAACGCTAATAATAACATAACGTAAATGTCGTCCGTCCACCTCCAATTTTTGAAAAGGGGAGATAAGAACAAATCAGTGGACCACAGACTAAAGAGAAGGTCTTTGGCCTTAAAAAACCTTGCAGACTTAGTTTATTTAAGTTTAGTATGTTATTCAAACTCCAAATTCTTTCATGATGACATGCTGTATTTTTACATTTATGTGCTTATTATACAACTAACTAGTATCTAGTACTTTTTTATTTGGCCTGAAACCAGTATCTCACTATTATAAAAATGGAATTTGATAGTATGCATCTTATGACAATTAAAAATGAAATGCCACTTATGCATCTTATGACAATTAAAAATGAAATGCCACTTATGCATCTTTTGACAATTAAAAATGAAATGCCACAAAAATAGAAGTTAAAGTATATTAGAAAATGCCACTGTTTATCAATTATTTTTTATTTATAATTTTATTAAAATAACAAGAGGTCGCATTCCTTTCGTGAAATGCCACAATTTGTTGTTACTGAACCATTTTGTGACATTTCATAAAGAAATGCCACTTCATAATTATGAAAATATTAAAAAAATAATTTTATTTTTTATGGTTTTTATAATTACAATTACTATATTTATTAACGCAATTGTTATAATTAAATTTTTTATTTTTGTTTTACTTATTTTCATTATTGATATAACTATTTGTATTGATTAATCTAAAAATTTTAATTATATTTAATTAATAATTACTTCTATTATAACTATAATAATTATTAAAATATTATTAGTCATTTTAGAACCAATTATAATATAAATTAAGTAGTTAATTAATAATCTTTATTAATATATCACAATAATTTAAAACTAAAAATATAAATTTACAAATATATTTGTTTCAATATTTATTTCACAATAAGTATAATATTTAAAAAATAATTTATTTAATTAATCTTTGATGGCATTTATAGCAAGCGGAAACGCCATCTAAGTGTATTATTTTATCTTTATTTGATAATTATTTATTCTATTTGAAGGTTTATTTTTCAATAACTATTTTATGGTAAATATTATATTTAATAAATATTTTAGTTATTAATCATAGGTGGCTAATTGTTTTCATTTATTTTATTTAATAACATATATTTTTCAATAATTATTTCATAATTAATATAATAATTAATATTATTTTTAAAATATATAATTATAAAAACTATTTTTTAAATATTAAAAATTAACAATATTATGTAAATGAGAGAGGTGATGTTTCAAGATGATGAAAATGCCATCTCTTTCTTGTAAATTAAATTTTTATTAATCAATATTATTTTTAAATTGTGTATATATATGCAATATTTTTTTCAAATATTAAATATTAAAAAAAATTAAATGAAAGAGGTGGCGTTTCAGGTAACAAAAATGCCACCTCTCTCTTATAAATTAAATTATTTATTAATTAATTTTATTTTTAAAATATATAATTATTAAATATTATTTATTAAATATTAAGTATTAAAAATTTTATTTAAATGAGAGAGGTGGTGATGGAAACGACACCTCTCTCTTGTGGATTAATTTTTTTAATTAATATTATTTTACAAATATTTATATTTAAATATTTTTATTAAATATTAAATACCAAAAAAATTATTTAAATGAGTGGTGGCGTTTAGTGATAGAAAAACAACCTTTCTCTTATAAATTAAATTCTTTATTAAATAATATTTTTTTTAAAATATATGATTGTTAAATATTATTTATTAAATATTAAAAAATTATTTAAATGAGAGAGGTGGCATTTTCATGTGATGGAAATAGCACCTCTCTATTCAAAATTAAACTTTTTATTAATTAGTTTAATTTTTCAAAAAATTAGAGAGGTGACCACTGTTGTATTTTTTAATTATTTTTAAAAAGTGGAGACATTTTTTAACTCTACTTAGAATTTTCAAACCCTAATCTCCTCATCTTGGTTGTTCTCTCCATCTATCCACTGTCACTTCTCTCTTACAACCCACAAGTGATCTATTCTCTGATTGCTAAAGTTGTTCTTGTCTTCTCTTGCAAAAGTTGCTTGTACAAGTACACTAGCAATAGGTTCCTTTTTTTTTTCTTTTTTACCTTTTATCTATATATATATATATATATGGATTTTCATGATTTTGCTTTTGTTTCTCTTCATCTAATAATTTTTCTTTCCACTCTTGAATGGTTTGTCCTTTTAATTTGTTAACAGTTGTATCTGTTGGTGAAACAAGTCTGAGTATAAAGCTTTATTAAGATTTGGAAAATAAATAGTGCAATCTTCAATCTTCGTGCTTTTAGTGATAAACAGCTTGGTTTTGTCAAGTTTTAGACTTTCAAGAATGTAATGATGATAATCTCCATTAATCATTGAGGAAGAAACTTGTTTCTAATTTAGAATCTGCCCACTTTTTCTGATATGCATCTGGTTAGTGTTGAAGGACAGCCAAAACTTGTGTAGCTAGATGATAGCTCATTTTTTCTTCATAGTTTGTATAAATTATTTTAGTTATTCTATATTTAATCAATTTTTTAAATTTATTGTTTATTTGTTTTTGTTGTAGGTATTGTTTTTTACAATTATATTGTAAAAATTGCTGATAAACCTTATGATATATCTTAGTTAATATATAATTTATATTTTTTTTATCTTTGATTTTTTGTAACCTAGCTAAATTTATCGTAATTTTGTATAGTATGAAATTAATTATTTATTTTTGTTAATTATATGAATAAATTTTATTACATAAATTAATTGTATATTTACTAAAAAAATTATGTATATACATTGATATATGAGAGATTATACATACATACATACATATATATATATATATATATATATTAAAAATTGGTGCTTTAAAATTTTTTTAAATAAAAAGAGATCGGTGGCATTTCCTTCTCCTTTTATTTTTTAAAAGTGAGTAAAGAGATGAGGAAATGCAACCGCAATTGCTAGGTTCTTGTGACATTTCATTAATGAACAAAGTACCACCTAATAGTTAAGATAATATTGAATCTCATAGCATTTTATAAACACCATGAAATTAAAATTTTAAACGTTATCAAAGTTCATTTTTGTAGTATTATCTGTTACTACATGTTAGATTTACTCTTCCGATATGATTTTATAAATCAATAAGTTTATTTGAATTTCAACCTTGCTTAAAAAGAATTAGTGGAGTCTCTTCCACTCAACTCAGCCATCATCAGTATATCTTTCCAAATATTATTCAATTTATTATATATATAGCGTTACCGCTAAAAATGACTCACAGAATGATAGATAAGCTTAATTGGTCTTTGTTTTTAAATCTCTCTCAGTCTGATATAATTGTCAATAACATTAATATACTCCCTCTTGTCTTATTTATAAATTATTTCTATCAACCTCATCAATATCAATATAATAAAAAGTACAAGGAATAAAAGTAAGTAAAATTTCAAATATAACTCTCAATTAAAAAAAAAGTAAATAAATAATATAATATTATTTTTTATTTTTCTCTCTCTTATTTTTTAAGGGTGGTTTGGAGATTTCAATTTAAAAAAAAATAATTTTAATTAATAATTTATAAAATAAATCAGATTATATTTTGAGTGACAAATACAGAGGAGTTGTTCTGTCTAGTGTATACAATATATAATTGATTAATGCCTTGCTAGAAGCAATTAAGAGTTGGTAAAGTCTTCAGTCTTCTTTACCTGCTACCAAAACTATTGTCTGAGATGGTTTCTTGACGTTCCAGTTTCTCTCTGCTTCTCTGTATTT